CTCTAGACGCTCGCAAATGACACTTTCAGATGGTAAAAATGCTTTCTCAAAGCAGCATTCCTCCACGACAAGTTTATTTTCTTCCCAACGGGAGCTATGTTCCTCTCCCTTTGGCACCCCTCCTCTTACGGGAGTCCCAAATGTCTAATCAATGACATATTCTGTATACTTGGAGTCGCAAAGGAAGATTAAAGCACCTCTAGATACCCTAGAAGGGCACTTAATGTGTATAAACTTTTACAAATGTAGTTGGTGGGGGGGGGGTCCTGGCCGGCTGGGTACTCCATCTCCCTTGGATGAATCCTACATTCGATGTCAGAGACACATTATGCTGTTATGTATCAACAAAGCTCTTTTGGAAGAGGGTGCTATAGAGCGAGGATCCTATGGGTAGGGGACCGTAAGGGCCAATAATGGTCGGTAGCCCTGCGGACCGCCACGCGAAAGAGCATAGGCGTGGACTACTCTATCTGGGTACTACATTCCGTAATAATGGCTAAAGAAGCCTCGTATTATGTCTCAGCTTTCTGGCTTTTTTAACCTAATGATTTATGAAATCTGGTATATATGTTTTTTTTTTTTTCGTTATCAATTAATAGAAATTCGAAATTAGTGAGTAGTAAAATAATCGAGCTCTCCTTTCGCCCACAGCTTTGTTCGCCACTTAACACAAGAGTACACTTCCTTTTTTTCCTTTTTCCTTCATTTATATTTCGGTGGGACTGACGGGGACGGTCGGGGGTGTACTGGTACCTGGTAGGATGTTGTGGCATTTAATTGACTGTTATAGGCCTATTACTTCGTGCGCTGAGTAATGCGCACGGCTGGGTATGTTTGCCAACTGCATTCCGACAGCTGATCAACTTTCCTTTTGGGCCCTCTGACTTTTTTAGAATAAAAATCAAATGGAGAAAAAAAGAAAGTTGTATTTAAATTTAAGCCTGAGATTGGTATTTCCGCAATCTGTAGATGGCATAATTATAAAAAATAAAAAAAAATAAAAAAAAATCCTCAGCCCCTACTGACGTAAGTACACCCGCTATCTGTAAAAATCCCTTCCTTGTCCTCCTCTATTATCAATTTCTGGATCTGTCAATGATAATAGTAAGCAAAAATTGAAATAATACCGGTACCAAACACAAGTATTCAGTTTCTGGGATTTTCGTTTATAAAAGTTGCTGTGCTAATCTCTATCAAATGATTAGATGGGTCACGGCTAGTGGGGGAAATCAAAACTTTGGTCCCAAAGAAAAAAAGTTTGGCAAAGTGAGTTCTAAGTTAACGATAATTATGTCCATGCAAATGTCATCATTTTTTTCAGAGAGACAATTAAATTATTGATTCATACTCCACTAAATGTATCAAGGAGACTAGATATTATGCCAAATGTTAACTGATGTTAGTGAAGTCATATGTGTATAAACATAATGTATTATTTAGGCATGCCGTAAAAGTCAAATACATTATATGCTTAGGCCTATAGCAAATCACTGTCTTATAGATGTAAGTGTAAAAAAAAATTGTTATACTACAATCATAGGCACATCTCTAACCATCTCGTTTTAGGCATAATAGGTGAAATATGATAGACACTTAATGGTTCCGTTTCTTTATTTTCTGTATACAATAAAAAAATTAAAAAAAAAGAAAAGAAAAGAAACACCAAACAAAATATGTATACATACTAAGGGATCATGTAAATCTCTTTTAGTTTCTCTAATAGTCTGTTCCTGAAGATTAAGAAGATATGGTGTCTGTCTATCTAACTTATGTAGAAATAAAAATTATTTTAAGCCCTACATATTATAAATCGATTACAAGCCACTGCCTAAGCTTACGTATTATCGACAATACACTAAACACATCGATAACAAAGCCAATAATTGTGATTGATCGTATGACGAATATTAATTACCGAAAAAGAGAATCATACCGATTACCTGTTTTATGACAACTGAATCCATATCGATAATATATTACCTTACAAAAAATAAATTTCACACCACTTATCTTTTTCACACATTAACTATTTAACAAAAAATATTAATTAAAATGAATTTATATGTATCGGTAAATACATGAATGTATTACATTATGTATGTATAATGATTAAGTGTCGGTTACACACTGAATACAGCTCAATTATCTGTTACAAACAATATCAATTACATAAGCTCCGGGTATTCAACCTTTTTAAGCTGGTGGCCAGTTCCAATTTATTAAGACCATCTCAATATCTCAATAATTCTTTATTGTCATTCATATGAAACAGAAATGTAATTTGAACTGGCAAACAATGTATTAACAAGTTTAAACAACAAATGAAAAGGCACAATATCCATAAACACTATTAATACAGAAGTAAAAATTGATTATGTACAAATATGAAGTCTTAGTAATTCTCATTAATATAATTATTGCACAAATAATGAAATTTAGTTTTACAGTATTAAATTATATTAATTTACATCGTAATATGCATGTTCTAATAATAATTACACAATAAAATGACTTATTCATTATAAAATACTTCATAATTATATATACAGAAATAAATTAATAAATTTTTATACATTATAATTAGACACTTTAATAATATTATATTTACAAGATTAAAATTTTACATCATTAAGATTACAGTCGAACCCCTCCTTTGGGACACCCCTATTAAGGGGACACCTCTATTAAGGGGACACTTTTTCGTGAAACGAGAGGCGATATATCTTTTAACACTGGGGCCAATCCATATTAAGTGGACACCCCTTACTTGGACGGGGACACCTTCTGAGTGTGCCAAATGGTCAAATAACCCATATTAAGGGGACACTCATTTTTTCCCCCTGTTGTATTGCAACAAATACAACAGTCTCAAAATAAGAAAAAATCACTAAACTTTAAATATTGACACATTTAGAGCAACTTATTGAGGAACCTTTACTACCTTTCTACTGCTGTTTGTCAAGGGCGAGCTTCTGTTGAACTACATAATAATAATAATAATAATAATAATAATAATAATAATAATAATAATAATTGTACACTCGAAATCTCGTTTGGCCCGGGCGCACTACTCACGCACTCGTGCCGAGGTCTGCCTGTACTTGGTAGCCTGGTAATATACCGCTTGTCACACGCACTTAACCAAGAGCAACATAAAGCACATTCAAGTAAACTGTAACTTCAGAATCCATTTATTGGATTGACAACTTATATCCAATCACAAACACTCTGATCAGGGACGTAGCCAAGATTTTGAAAGGGGGGGGGGGAGCCGTTATGCAAATTACGTATGACCCCGGCGGGGTCAAGGGGGCGAATCCCCCTGTGAA